ACAGTTTGTTCATCAGTCTCCTGTCAATGCACACTAGGGTTGTTTCTAGTCCTCTGTCTAAAACTGTGACAGGGAAGTAACAGCTGGAGAGGAGGCTGGTCCCGGAGGGGCAGGGAGGCTCCACTCCAGGAAGCTACTGCAGGCGCTGGGCACCGGTCAGCAGGATTTTCAGGCAGGCTGGGGGAACCCTTTCGGGGGGGGGGAATTCAGGCAATGATCAGTTTCAGGAGGGGCTAATTGTCATCCAGAGACCTGTCCGTAGGCTCTTGGACTCCCAGGCTTTGCTTCCCAGGCAGGATGTCCAGCTCAGCCATTAGGTACGTAGCTTATGGCATTAGTAAGGGTCAGTGGGCAGAACCTAGAGGTAGCACCAGAAAAAACAGGGCCTGGCCGGAGCCATCAATACGTTAGGGCAAAGGGGACAGTTGCAACGTGGAGGCATCCAGGGGTCATCCCGGGGGACTGTGTGGTCACATCTGTTTGGCCATGACATCTATTCCAGGAGTATCATGTGGGCCTGGCCTGCATGGCCAAGCCACAGATCCCTGGCACAGTGAGAGTGCAGGGTAGAGGCTCAGGGCGGTTGTCTTGCTGTGGACAGGCGGCCTAGGCGGCCACTGGGCGGAACCAGGGACCCAAGCTGTGGGGAACTAGAGGGCAGACAGGGAGAGAGCCACTGGTTTGGACAGATCACATCTAGCAAATGGAACCACAGTCCTGTGACCATTTTCTATTGCTTGACCACACTAAATGCTTCCAGGCCTGGGGTCAGGGGGAGGAGCACAGTACCAGAAGTAAACTCCAGGGGGAGCTCTTGGGCCTCTGTTTCTTTGTGAATGACCACTTACTTCCCTACCTGCCTCCCTAGGAGCGTTGTGAAGTAATGTAGGTGAAAAGGCTTTGACAACTAGAAAGTGTTAGGTATTTGAAATGTGGTCACCACACATTTCAGACTCACAGCAATTGATAAAATATCCTTTTCTCCTTGGAGTCCTCTCTTGCTTTTTTTATTCGTATCACTTGTTAAAACACTTATTAGTTTGAGTTTCATACACCTGAATTAACTTGGAACCCAAAGATTTGGGGACAACATATGGTTCTGCCATTGACTTGTTGTGTGATGTTGCATAAGTCACTTAATTTCTCTGTGCCTCAGTTTCCTCAACTACCTTACAGGCTTGTTGCCCAACTCACATGAGATGAAGATTATGCAGGGCTCTGCAAACTGTAATAATGTTCTGTGCATGTACAGTATGATGCATTATTTCTTTGCTATGAAGCCTCTTTTACTTGTAGCTTGGGCCTGGCCCAGACTGCAGCATTCCAGGACATAAACCCCAGCCAATAAAATTACATTTATCTTAAACATGTGACTGCGACCCCTTTCCAATCATAGCCACAATAACTACTTGGGAAATCGTGATGGTCCATAGCAGCTGCTGGCATAGCTCAGGCTGTGGGCAGGTTTCCTGTAATGTGTTGCCTAGGAACGTGGCCGCCCTGTCATTCTGGCCTTTCCCCCTGTCATTTCCCTGGCCGCCCCCAGCAACATATCCTCATGTCAGTCTTCTTGAGGGCAGAAGTGTGACCTTGGCTTAAACAGTGAGGTCTGTCTGGGTATAGATGATTCATGTGGCAGAAATGCACAGGCAGAGGGAAAGTTTCCAGCTCAGCGTTCAAGAACATCCTATCCCAATTCCATTGCTCGGTCTCTGTCTGCCTATAGCTCCGTGTCTAATTCTCTCCTTGGCCGTGACCTTCCCCCCCATGTCTGGAGGAGACACCTTCCCTAGATCCTCTGGTGCTTCTCCTCTTTCTTCATTGTTCTTGTGACTTCTTCCTCCCCCTTCAGCCCCAGACAGCCCATGGGAAGGAGGGGAAGAAACAGTCTACGGGTCTTGCAAGGCCTTGGGTTTCGTTCTCAGATGCCCTGGGTTTGAGCTAATCCCAGCTCCTCCTTCCAGCACTTCTAGCTGCAAGCTTGGCAAGTTAACCTCTCTTTACCCCAATTTCCTTATCTGTAAGTAGAGATACTATTTGTGTCTACCTCACAGAACTGTTGTAAGATTGAATGAGAGAAAGCCACATGGAACATTTGGCACAGTAAACACTTAATAAATGACAGTTTTAATTATTATATCACTTGTTATTTATAACAACAGTTCTCAAAATTGTCTCTGAGGAAGCGCCTTGAGGTTATATGAAACCATGAAATTGTCACATTTTAAACATAATGGAACACCAGTGTTCCTAGGAACCTAGTTTAAGAACCAAGTCCTTAGCCTAGTGTTGGCTGCCTCCCAGCCTGGCTCCAACCTCACTTCCCTCTACCCTTCCTGAACCTTGCAGGCTCACCAAATAGAGCCAATTCCTGTCTCTTGGACATAATTTGTGTTTGTTCTCTTCTGTCTTGGCCTGCCATGCTCTCTCCTATTCTTGTAATTTTGTTGGAAGAAATCCAATGCTTTCCAACAAGATACTGCTCAAATCCCACCTTCTCTGTTAAGCCTTCCTTGACCACTTCTGATATTGGGCTTTTTTTTTTTTCCCTTTAGACTCTCACATACGCCCTGGGTACTCACTGAGATGAGCTAGTTGTGGGGTATGTGGGTATGTATGTGCCCTTAAGTGGTACACAGCAGAGTGGGGAAAACCAATATGTGGGAATTAACAATTCCTTGTAATAAGTGCTGCAAGAGGGTATGTGCAGAATGCTGGGAGAGCACAGAAAAGGGAGTCACTAACTGCCTAACTCAATCAGGGAAGGCTGCTCAGAGGAGGAGATGCTTAAGCAGGAGCTTACAGCATGAAGAATTCACCAAGCAGAAAAAGGTGAGGGACACCACGCTCTCCTGGTTTCCCTCCTGCCTCTCAGCCCCTTCCTCTGCACCTGTCAGTGTTGGAGATTCCCAGGACTCAATACTCGGAGAGCTCCCCTCTTATCTACAATCACTCTCTGATCTCATCCAGCCCCAGGGCTTTTAAGGATCAGCTATGTACCCTTGACTCCTAAATTTGTATTTCCAGTCTTGACCTCTCCTTGAGCTCCAAACTGGTATAACCAACTGCACACTTAATCTTCTTTCTTGGATTTCTAGTGGGCATCTCCCACTTGACATGTCCAAAATGAAACTCTTGATTTCCCTCTTGAAACAACTCTCCATTGTCTTTCCTGCTTCAGTACATGAATAGCATTCAATTAGTTGCTCAGAACAAAAATCTGAGTCATCCTTAGTTATTATTTTTCCTCCTTTCTACATCCATTCCATAAGCAGCTCTTGCAAATGGGCTTTAAAATGTAACCACTTCTAACCAGCTCCACTGCCACTATCACAGTCTAGGCAGCCATCACCTTGCACTTATACCACAGCAGTAGCCTCCTAGTTGATGCCCCTATTTCCACTCTTATATCTATAGCCTCCTTTTCTCACTGTAACCAAAGTGATTCTTTTAAAACATGTCAGATCAAATTACTTCCCTTGTGCAAACTCACTAATAGCGTTCTCGTTGCATTTAAAATCCTGGCTCCTTACCATGGCCTACAAGATGCTGCATGATTTGTCCATTGTCTTTTTACCTGACCTCATCTCCTACTACTCGCTCGCACTCTTGCTCCTTGCTGTTCTTCAAAAGTGGCCTTTGTTCTTGTTGTTCATTCAGCCTGAAGTGCTTTAGCTTAGCTCTCCAAATCACTTATTTGCTCACTTCATTCAGTCCCTGTTCATATATCACCTCTTGAGACTTTTGCTTCTGGTCATGATGGAGTAACAAAGACTGGACCTATACATACAAAACCAATACATTA